GGGGGGGGGGGGCACTGGGGGCAGACAGCGCAGTTTTCTTTATTCGTTCCCTCAAGCCCTAACAATGCAGGCAATAAATGACCCGATAAGGGGCACGTGATGCCAGCGAAGAGGATGGTTCCAGAAGGCACAGAAGACTGTGTGCAGAAGAGGGCATGGAGTGAGGAACAACCTGACCTGAAGCAACTGTCCAGGCCTGGAGTAGCGCCTGAAGCTAGAAGGCACCAGATGAAGGCGAGAGGGTCCAGCCCAGGTCTTTGGCTCAGGCCAGGACACCTGGGGCCTTCCTTGTCTGGGCATACGGAAGGTGTAGGGACAGGTAAGTTGAGGGCTGAGATTTTCCAGATAGGTTTTCTTTAATGCTTTAATGAAATGTGCTGAAAAATCCACTCAGCCTTGAAGTGTGATATGTCCAGGGGTATGTATTGGGCCAGGGGAAGCTGGAACTGGGTACTCCCTGAGGAACACAAACAAGGATTTAAGGGGCAGTAAAAATTCGGAATAGAGTCTGCTGTTCATTTGGTACATATCTAATGAGCATCCAGTTGCTACAGGCATGCTGGTAGGCACTGGGGACACCAATGAAGAGCCAGGTCCTTGTCAGCCCACACTTTTATGGGAGAGACATACAAGTAACAGGCAGAATCAATCAAGTGTGGAAAAGGTTATGAAGGAGGTTTGCTGAGGGTTCTTTGGGAGCCCAGAGTATGGGGCCCAGGCTGGGACAGAGGAAGGGAAATGGAGAGGTGTTGGTGGATGACGAATGTGGGCAGGGCGTTTTAGGCAAAGGGCTAAGTGTGAGCTCAGAAAGAGGATGTCTGGGTCCAAGAGCTTCAGGCACATTTGTGGGATGTGAGTAGATGGGACAGGAACTGGAAAGGGGAAAGGAGGATAAGGTGAGGTGTGGGAGGAGCCAAATTGCAGGGACATCATCTCTGGGCCTCAGGGACACTGTGAGACACCAGGCAGAAACCTGGAAGTCTCCCGAGGGCCTGATGTTCTCCTGTCCCTTTTGGCATTGGAACACAAGACCTTTCTTCCTGCCTGGTTGGACAGAAAGCGGCACCTCATGCTGCACACATGTCCCAAAACCTGGCCCTAAGTTGGGACACCCATCCTCCAAATGACTAGGCTGATCCCTCCTGGACAGCACATAGTCTATCTGACTCTGGACTCACTAGGAGACCAACTCAGGAGGTGACAGATGGAAAATGGGAGAGAAGGAAGCAGAGTCCAGGGCCAGGAGCAGAGAAGAGTGAAGGTGGTTAGGAGTGTCAGATTAAACATAGGACACCCATCTAAATCGTATTTCAGATAAACCAAATTATTTCACAGGGCATAGTTATACTAAAAACGTATCCATTATCTGAAATTCCAGTCTAACATCCTGTATTTTTATTTGCTTAATCTGGCAACCCTGAGTGGTGCTTGTCTGCTTGGTATATCAGTGCCTCAGCGAAAAACCAGGGAGGCAGCCAGGGGAAGGACTCTAAGATGTGGTCACCCTGACTTTGGGCATAGTCTGTCCTCTTTGAGAAAAGAGTCCTGGCAAGGCTGCTTGCTTGGGGCAGTCATGTCCACAGTGTCACACACAGAAGCCACGGCTCCACAAGGGCTCTCAGCCTGGCAGGGATGCCACAGAGGACAGATACAGAAGCAACAAATAACCTTTTAAGTCATAGGCCAGGGACTTGGTACCTTTTAATAAACTAGTCTCTTTGCTCCCAGCCTCTCCCCTGTCCAAGTTAAGCTACACAGCACTCATTATATTCTTCAGAGAGCACAAACTTAAGTCTCACTTTGTTAAAAGCCTTTAGTTTCCCCCAGTAGCCCTGGATAAACACCAACTATTCAGCCTGGCATTCCAAGCTCTATACATCTGGCCCAATATTTTTTCCCAGCCATAGTTCCCTTGATTACTCTCCATTCCCCTGCTAAAACTGGAGTCCTTGGTGTCTTGCAAATAGATCTTTAATTTCCCTGCCTTTGTTCATGTCCCCTTCCTTACCTGTAGAAATCTTTCAAGGTTGAATTCAATGGTAAGAAACCTGATGTCACCACCTCCATAACACCCTCCTTGACTTCCACCTATCCTCCCCATTCTGCCCATATCCCCAGCTAAGTTATACTCTCTGTTTTGCCAACATTTTCTCTAGATACTTTTGTAGCCTTTATCCTGCATTGCATATTAACAATGTGTGTATTTTTCTCTACTATTTTTTTCTTTTATTAGATTATAAAATCCTTGACAGCAAGTAAAAGCTAAGTACAGTTTGCTGAATGAATACAAGAAATGAGGCCACAGAAAGAGCAAAGCCCATAAAACAACAGCAACAGCTTTGGGATGCTGCCAGCAGGCAAAGCATTGAGAGCGGAAAGCCTAATCCTATGCCCTCGTGAAAAGTATCACACTGCAGGAAACCCGTAACTCAGCAGACAGGGCAGTTTCCTGCAGAAAAGCCCCTCGTGAGAAGGGGCTGAGTGACAAGATTTAGTGCAGCCAGAGAGCCCACCTTCAACCAACTACAATCAGAGGAGAGAAATTTTTAACCTTTTGCTAAAGTCATTAATGGAACTGTACTACCTGCTACCTAAGAACTAAAACGTTTGGTCAGAACTTCCCACTCTCCCTCTCCCACTCTGACCCTGTGCTAACGGGCAATGCAGTACCCAGAAAGCAAGGAGAAAACCACTTAGAGATCACTTTTCTATTTTCATGGATTAAAATGAAGCAAATTTTCAGTGGAAATGCATAACTATCGCTGTTAAGTACCCATCCATCTCATCTTAAAGGTTTGAAAGCACAAATCTAAGAAACGAAATATGTTGAAACTTACTCTTTAATTCAACCGGTTCTCAGGAAACCCAAGAAGTCCTGGGATCTAACGGAGGAAGGCAGACACACCACCTACTCACTCCCCCCACTCCCATCCAAGCTCTGAGGAGGGTACAAGGCCCCCAAGACTCAATTCTTCACACTCTCACCTCCCAGGAAGACCTCCACTCAAGGGCAAAAGCAGTAACATAGAATAGTTCCTAACTGCAAGGCCTCGACGAGCTGCTACTACGGCCAGAATGAATCCAGAAACCACACAGGCCTTGGGGAAGTAAGAGCTCTGAGACAAAGTCATGCCTTCAACTGGTAGAGGGATCAACAAAGCTTGGAGGGACACACAAATGGTCAGAGCTTCACCTTTCCTAAACAGTGCCTTCCTATGTGCCCAATTGGGAACTAAGCTTAAATAAAAGCTGTCTTTCACTTCTTTTCAGGACATCACATTAATTATCCTAGTTATGGTTTATTTATACATGTAAAAAAAATATGATGAAAGTCACATGCCCACCTACAAAAAATTTGGAAAGTAGAGAAAAGGCAAAAATTG